TGCCTGGGCGGTTTGGTTTGCTCGTTTCCAGAAGATTTTCACTGGCTTGAACGCTTGTGTTAGATATATGAAGCTTCATCCATTACAAAGGTAACATCTTAGTGATAATCTGAATCATGTTCATATTGCAGTCTTATGTATCTATGAGTTTACTAGTTCATTTGCTGATTGGCTTTCTCTGCTTGAGATAAGCTAGACGGGTGTGGCATAATCCGCCCTTCTAAGTGCCTGATGTTATAGAAAATGCATCTGAGTCGCTTTATCAACGGGTGTTATCATGTAATCATCATTCGTAGCATCTTATAGTCCACTAGATTTAAGCAAGTCGTTTTATGCAATGCATACTCATTAACTTGGACAATGTTACGAACCACCTTGCTCTGTATCCTTTTAGGAAGTGAGTTTTTTCTGGTTATAATGATATTTATTCGTTTTCAGTTGTGTCTACTTGGGCTATCCCCATCGCAGTTAGCACTGTGCAGCCTGATATCCCCATCGCAGTTAGCACTGTGCAGCCTGATATCCCCATCGCAGTTAGCACTGTTCAGCCTGATATCCCTATCGCAGTTAGCACTGTTCAGCCTGATACTCCAATCGCAGTTAGCACTGTTCAGCCTGATGTTCCCATCGCAGTTAGCACTGTTCAGCCTGATGTTCCCATCGCAGTTAGCACTGTTCAGCCTGATACTCCAATCGCCATGAGCACTGTCCAGCCTGATATATTTATCGCAGTTAGCACTGTGCAGCCTGATATCCCCATCGCAGTTAGCACTGTGCAGCCTGATATCCCCATCGCAGTTAGCACTGTCCAGCCTGATACTCCAATCGCCATGAGCACTGTCCAGCCTGATATACCAATCGCAATGAGCACTGTCCAGCCTGATACTCCAATCGCAATGAGCACTGTTCGTCCTGATCCAGTCTTCGTTGGAAGCACGGTACCCTCACCTTCTGTAGGACCTTCTTGCGGAGAGTATGTTTTTCAAAATTATAATATTTGAACGTATTCATCTAACCTCCAGATGCAATTCCATGAATATATGGACTGATGTTATTTTCATAGTTGAATCATCTGAAAACTCTGGAATTAGAAATTCACAGATGGTGAGAGATTCACGTAAGAGAGTATCAACTTGTTGTACTGTTTTCAGATGTGGGCCTTTGTTTGTGGTCTTGGTGAAAGTTTTAACATTCAACCGAGTATTTATACAGATAGCAAGGAGGTAAAAGATACTTCTCTTACGGTAACTCCGATTTTTCAGTATATGAGAGTAGGAATCATCAACTACTCTGAGGATGTGGAAGTTGTTGGTGAGCTAGGCTCAGTCACTTTTCTTCAAATGGGACGCATGAGTATTCCTTTCATCGGTGGAGGTCAGAATGGAACTAATATAGAAAAGTAATCAAACTTACTCAATTATTGAATAATGAATGGTTGTATTGTAGAGCCATTGAAACAGCCAGTGATATGTTCAGCAGAGGCGGTCATAGACCCAATTCTCGTAAAGTTATTTTCCTGTTTTCTGCGAAGTACCTGTGAGTTTTTATTGAAATTGTACGTACATTATGTTTGAACTTCAGCCCAACTTCTGATCCTCAAGGAGCTGCTTCCAAATTCAAAGCTGATGGTGGCGTACTCTTCGTCTATGGTAAAACTTATCATATGTTAACGTTTTATTTTGTTTTATTGCAGAATATCAGCCAGATAGTACTGCTCAGACCAAAGAGCTCATTCAACTTGCTTCTCCCCAATATTATTTCCATATGCTATCTAGCACTTATGATGACGTAGTTCTGGCTCACTGTGATGGTAAGTTGTTCATCAGGTCATCTTAGATACATTTAATGTTCAGCTAACTGTTTCTGTTTGAATAACTACGTTTCTTTTAAAACTTCTGATCGAGGCCTTCCCTTGGCTGGTAAGGAATTGGAGTGAATGAAATATACAAAATATATTTTAGGATGCTACTATCCTGTGGATTCGCCTCGTTCACTGAAGCTTGGAAACACTAATTGCAAGAATGCATACAACGGGGGTTATATTGCTTCGGCTCAAACTTCCGAAAAACAAACTTTCTTAACCAAGTGTAGGCGCTACTAGAGTAACTGGGAAGCAATGACTATCATTACAGTGACAGACAACTCTATCTACATCATCGGATTACAGAACAACAATGGTGCCCTCCAATGGAGTGATGGATCACCTGTAAGAGGACCTTTAAAGCTCAGTTATGATATTCCTTTGTTTCAGTTGGGATCCTATCATCCATACAAAAGTGGACCTCCTTCCTCCTCTGATATGGTCATTGTCAACAACGGTTACTGGGATTTAACCAACAATTTGAATAGGTACTGGTACGTTTGTGAGTCCAGCCCTTGCTCTTCCAACAGATATTGTGATAACCAATAGCTTTCCACAATGTTTTGACTTGGCCTATATTACGCTCTGTGTCTTTATTTTTATTTTATTCTGGAGAAGTAATCTACATATCTTCAGCTGTTTCTCCGATCAAAACGAAAAAACAGCTCTGATAAGCAATAAAATATTTTCCTAAATAGTTCGAAATCAATGTGTGGATGAGTAATTTGCATAAACAATCACGTGATTGACGTGTTAATACATGACATGTGTTATTTCAATGATGT